ATGGCGGCCGGCCGGGGGGGCCCGGGGGCCCCCGGCGGCCGGAAGCCGTTCTCCGGCGGGTGATCCTGAGCCTCCGGCCGGCCGCCTGCCATCACGGCCCGGCCACAAAGAAGAGAGAGAAGCTGGGGGGGCGGGGAGGGGGCGCAGCTAGAAGCCAAACCCGGCTACAGTGTGACACAAAGAAACCCAAGAGCGCAGATAAATCCTGAAGCACGATCCAAGACTGGGGAAGAAGGTGGCACCGGAATCACCGAGCAGGCACCGTCATGGTGAGGGGGGGTCCAGCAGACCAGATGATGTCCAGGAGGAGAAGCTGTGTCAGGAGGAGGAGGCGCAGTGGAGGTATGGGGTGACGATCCCTGAGTGGAGTGGACTCAGACAGGCAGACACGCTCATAAACACGGTCTTCATCGTGGTCCACTGTGAGATCCATCCATGTGGAGGAGGTGAAGAGGAGGAGAGAAGGAGGCGGTGAAGGTGGTCATCCAAGACTGGACCTTCATCCACCAGGGTGCTCCACAGGTCTGACACCTGTCCGGACGGTGACCTCAGCACCTCCTGCAGGTGCACGTCCTTCACCTCCTGTGGTCCACTGTGTCCGAGCTCTTCATCATCATTTGTCTGTCCACTGGAGAGGAGTGACGGAGGAGTTACAAGTGACAAGGACGTGCAGTCGTCCTTTGGTCAATGGGAAGGGAGATGGAGAGATGAGGGAGAGAGTGTAGGGAGGAGATGGGTGGAGGGGAGGGTACGGGGCTGAAACCACGCCCTTCTGGAGTGGCACTAGGAGCAGCCATTGGTGATCATCCAAATCCGCGACTGCGCCACCGACGCACATCTGCAGGAAACACAAGCTGCTCTTTGTGCAAAGACCCAGAAGAGTCGGAGAATAAAATGGAATAGAATTTAATCCAGTTTTCACTTCAGGCTTTATTTGTTTCTGTGAAATCATCTGATCTTCTCTCTTGTTTCTTGTCGTGTGCATAAATATATTTTATCCATATTTTCATATGGTCTTTTTCCGCCTAAAAGGTAACATAAAATCCGGAATCAAGTTTCTTGTACGGGCGTTCATACTTGGCCAATCAACTAATATTGATTCTGTTGCATTCGTATCGCCTTCTATTAAATTTCCTTCTTATTTTTCCCAACTTGTGATTATGTTATTATGCAAATAATCATGTTAATGGAAACATTTCCCTTTCTGGATATTACCTCATATAATGTCATGTCAACTGCTATCGTATCGTATCGTATCAAGTCGTATCGAAATGAAGTCATTTTATATCGTTTTTCTTGGTGAAATAACTGATTTTTGCTCCTGCCTTCCATTACAATCACCGCGGCCACTGTTTCTTCCTCCTGTTATTTTTCTCATAATATGAAACCTCTAATAGGCAGAGTGACAGGCAGCCATTTGCAGACAATAGGATTTTAACAGGGTTGATTTGACGGCTGAGGGCCACTAGAGGGCGACAAATTATCATAATATTCGTCCTTGAATCTTTCAAAATGTCTCATTTTTTGAATCAGTTTGGGGTTTGCTTAAAATCCAGACTAAAGATCATCTCAGTTTAGTTTAGCTCAAGTTTAAACCAGTTATTTTTAAACTGTGCTTGAGCTGAAGACAAACGGCTGCCGTTGCCGCCGCTGCCACGTTGTCACAGCTGAGTGACCTTGAGGGAATCCACGCAGTGACAGATGATTTCTCACTGCCTGTGTCTCCTGATGACATGGAGCTGGTGTCGAGGGTGCGGCTGACACTGTAGCAGTTAAGTGACAGCTTGTGCTCAGCTTTCACTCATCTCACACCTCGTAATGCACCTCACCCTCCTCCCATCTTCTGCTCCTCCTCAGATATTCTCTCAAGATAGGACAGGAGTAAACAGGACTCTTAGGATTATATGTTACTGTATATATAGAATAAAGAAATCCTTCAGTGTCTTTTGTCGTCTCTTTCTGCGTTGTTTTTGCTTAAATACAGCAGAGCAGAGTGTTTGTTGTCGCTGGATTAAAAACAGTGTTGTCCAATCAGTGGCTCACCTGCCGTCACTGCTGGGTGATGATGATGATTTATCTGTTAATCAAGAGAGTCAAAAACTAGTTGCAGACATTTCACATGATTCTTATTATTTCTTTGCAGACGAAACTCAAACTGAAAAACGAAGGGTCTCAATTTGTGTTCCAGTGCCATCTGCTGGTCATTTTCTGCAGTCAGGTATGTGTAGTTTAATTGTTGGTTTTGTTTTGTTTAGTGTTTAGTTGTGGTCCAGAAATATCTTTTGATGGTTGAAAAAACTCATCCAATAAAACGTGGCACAGCTGCTCAGGACTTGTGAGACCTGTCTTGACATGTTTTTTCTTTGTCATTTAAATCAGACACTTTTCGAATCAAGGACTTTTTGAAAATATGACAACTTTTTTCGCAATTTTTTTACTCACCCTTGTCGCCCTGTTACTAGCAAATGCACGCCAAAACGGGTGTCGTTAGTGTAAACGGAGCAGTAACAGCAGCTCATTACAAACATAAACACCACCGCGTTCCTTTAAATACAGATACATTAGGTCACAAAGTGTCGCCATTGTAGGACGTGGAGTGAATGAATTCCTCTGTGTGGACTGGGCCGCGTCATGTGTCTCAGCGTATCTGGTGACCCAGTTTGGTTCAGGTGTATGGTGACATGTCTCTGATGTCCTCCCCCCCCCTCCCTCCCATCATTTACCCCCTCCCTGGCTGTGTTCCCAACCCCCCTGGGGCATATCCATGTCACTCTGCACAGCTACTCCACTGTCACTGGATCAGTGAGCCTGCGCTGCTGCTCCACCTCCGCCCACTCACCTGTCTCCTCCTATACTGATCCTATACTTTGACTGCACACCTCGTCAAATCTCTGCTGTAATTGGCCTGTGTTCCTATTTATATCAGCTCTGTATGCTGTGACGCGACGTGCGCTGCACAGAGTTTGTGCGCGGAGCAGGACGATGCAGGCGGCCATGTTGAAGCTGCTCAAAAACACAGGTGTTCTCGCTCTCCTTTAATGCAAACTCCTTCAGGCAACGACTCACTCTCCTGTCTTTGTTTTACGTTCACTCTCTAACTCTCTCTCTCTCTCTCTCTCTCTCTCTCTCCCTCTCTCCTTCACACACACAAACACACATGTACATACAGTTTGGTTTTCATGAGTAGTGAGTGCTTCACGTTGACATACTCTGAACCCCACTCCCCAAACTTTGACCTTGACTAACCCTCGTTCTAATCACAACTCCAAACTGAAGCTTAAATCTCAAAATAAATTCTAAAAAATGTCCCAGCAAGAATAGTTAAACCTAGACCACACACACACACACACACTCACACACATCTTTGTGCCTCTTCTTTCTGCACACTCCCTTCCATTCAGTTATCATTATTAATAATTTATTGCCGCTACATCCTTCACAAAGGTTTCTCTGTGTGTTTGTGTGTGAGAGAGAGAGAGAGCGAGAGACAGTTTGGTTTGTGGTTGTAACTCCTCCCTCTTATATTAACAGTTTTATTCTTCATTTACTCACTGACACAGTACTGCACTGCTATGTTTTCAGGATCATTAGAAACCATTCCAAACCCACTTCCCATTAGGGATATGTGGTTTCTCTCAGAATCAAACCCTGGACTCTCTGCTTGTAAGGCAGGCCTGCTAACCACTACACTGACTTTAACTTAGCTGCTGCATTAGTGCCTCTGCACTGTACAACACAGTTTTCAACGATCCATGTGTAAATATTTTCTCTGCATACAGAGCAAATACAAAGGCCATGAGCAAACTCACTCCAGGGAACTTTCTCTCATGGGTTTCTGTCAAAACCTGTCCGTGCCAGAGAGTGTTTAAAGTATTAGCATCTATTTAACAACTGTATTTATTTTATATTTATTTTTTACTTATGTGATTCCCAAATATCATCAGCTTTGATTATGAGGCATGTGATTCAAACCCATGTTTCCACCACATGTAATATTTTGACAGCACACCAGTGTCTGAATAAAGCTGAGAATCATCTTCACTGAGACGTTGACGTCGATGTCACTGCTGCAGGCATGGACTGGAGCAGGAGAGACAGAAAAATAGTGGAACTTAACGTTCTCTTTAAAATCGAAACGCTGTGTGTGACATTTCCATTAGATGGATGTTCATCTTGACATGATATTAGCCTGGAGCGTGTTGAGCAGAGATGACACCTCAGAGCCCCACCCATCACTGCGTGCTCAACCTGTTCTCTTCTGCTCTGTTTGGGAACTCGTACATCAGCAAGACATTAAAATGCACAGAGGTGTCTTCACTTGGCAGCGTGTGACCTTCAGGACAGGAGGAGTTATTGACGGATTTTGAGTACACACTGGCCGGCCAAGTGGCCAGTAAACCAAGACGTCAGGTCTCTACGTAGTCCAAGTGACATTCAAGTGTTAAAACAGAACGTGGGAAGAACTGACACTGACAGCGTTTTCCAGTGTTGCTGTAAAGAAAGGAACTCTTTCCAGTTCCGTTCTGGAAAGAAATTTCATTTAATTTTGTTGTATATTGACAGTTAACCAGGTCACTAAGACCAAAGTTTGACTTTTAATCAGAGGAGATGATTGGTGATGTGCAGTGGTTCTGGAAAGAAATTTCATTTAATGAGGTTCACAGACCTTTTCAGTTGGTGATGGGATTTTACAAAGTTCTGACAAAGAGAGGATCAGTGGAAACAAAATCCATATATTTTCCTGAAAATACTTGAAGGTCATAAGACATTTGGTGGAATCCCTTCTTGTAGCTAAGATTCAAACCAACATTTCAGTTGTTTTGTTAATCGATTTTTTTACCAACACATTTAACTGTAGTTTACACTGAAGAGTCAGACGTTATCGCGCTTCCTTTGTTGTTGACGTCCTAATTTCCCGTAACCTCCTTGAATGCTGAGAACAATAACAGATGAGCAGCCTCGCCCTCAACATCCACGGTTATCTTCACTAACATCTTTAATCCCTAAACGTCTGAGAACTGAACCCATGACTAACCCAAACACATTGGCACACATGCCTGCAGAGTGACACATCTCCACTCTGTACGGGAAGTGTAACCAAACACCTCACAAGACGCGATGGCCCCTTCAGAAACGAGAGCGAGACTTGAAAGGCTCCTGTACCGTTGAGGCAAAGGACCATGAGCTGCCTGAACTTGTCACTCAGCGTCCACAGACGGAGACACTCCACAGACTGTAGGGGATTTCACTCCATCAGCAGATTAATATTAAACCACATTCCCCATCCTGCTGTTTGGGCGTGTCTGTGGGTGTGGTGTTCAAAGTCACCCAAAAACTTCACACACCTGTGGAAAACAGCCAGAGATGGAGATGATTAGGTATTAACGACTCAAGGCTGACAAAGTTTTGTTTTTTGTTATTTGGTGAGAGAGGTTCCCGGAAGAAAAAAAAAGAATTCCCCACCAGAATGTCTTTGTGGCCACAGCTTGGGTTAATTAGGGTCACTGTGCAAAGTATATGACATGAGACAAATGTACATGTGCACCAAAGGCTTTACAACCAAATTGATCACATGATTCTGGAACAGAAAGACCTTCAGGAGACCTGGTATCGTCATGACCCAGTCAGAATAGTCAGATTAGAATCGTTCAATTTTCCAGCAGCGGTCGTTGGTGGTTTTGGTCTTCGATGGTGTTTGATGGCGAAAGAAATGCAAACCAAAAACCTTCGTCTAAAAGAAGCTCTGTGTTTCACAGAGTCTGGATGATTCTGGATGTTTTGTCTGCAGGAAAAAAAAAAGATCAAAATTCGGCAAAAATCAGCAGTGTGTTTGTTTGAATTCAGCTGTTATGGTAACTGTGAGTCAGTCCAGGTGCTGGACTATCCCCCGTCTGACGAGTTCTACAGATATATTTTAGTTTTCTGTGAAAATGTTCCATGTCCATGTACTGAATTTCCACAACAACATTTAGTCTCCAACACTTCAGGTCAGCGTCAGGTAATGCATGCTAACATGAAACATACTGAAATTCCAGCAGGTTCACCTACAGGCTAGTGAAGGTATAACAGTATAAACGCAATGGTTCCTGCAGTTTATGATTCATTAGTTGGGTGGTGGGATGCTGTTAGGGGGTGTAATAATCTGGCGATACATATCATGATACATGGGACATCATTACGATATACTGGATACTATAGGCATGACAATATATATATATATATATGTATATATAATCATAGGAAAACAATTGCATCATTGTGACCAGGGTTACAGATATTAGTGAACTGACGGTACATTGCTTTTTAGGGTCATATTTGAACCTTTTGCCAAAAATCTGACATCAACATCATCCATATATTTTCAGACATAATTTGGGATTCTTTATTTTTTATAACTAAATATGTTGTGTTTTGAAAATTGAAACCAATTTTTATCTTAAAGCTGTTTGTCTGGAGATTACTACTCCTCCATATTCTCATTTCCTTCATTTAAAGAAATGTCTTTTCACAAACAGAAAGGAGGCCTCACAAAGCAAGCTGTGTCCTGTCCTGTAGTGATGTGGAATGAAACAGATGGGCGAGGGTGGAACACCAAGACTACGCCCCAGGTACACGCCCTGAAAAGACAAAACTCGCTCAACCACAGGTGAAAGAGTAAATGTGATTAGTTCACTCTCAGCACTCTCTCTCTCCCTCTCTCCTTCAGAGCCAAAGTTTGTGCATGATACTTGAAAAATGTTTGTGTAATGTTTCTTTGTGAAGTGAGTGCAGGATTGGAGTTCAGTGCCTGCTCACAGCGAGTGGCACGGCACCCTGCATTGTTGTAAAATGGCCTTAAAAAATGTGGTTCTGGCCAAAGGTGCACGAATATCTGTGCAGGTTTATTGGCAGCCCAGGGTGTGTTCTCCTAATTTGCCAAAAGGAATGCCATGGTGGTGAGGTGGGACTTTTGTTCCCTGAGAAAATGTTCGTGCAGTTAATACCAGAGTGAATCACTGGTAAAGAAAGTCAAGAACACATGATCTCTGAGACAAAGTGCAGAATCCTCTGGTGCAGCTGTAGGACCATCGACCGATACCAAAATATGAGAATTCTTCTGCCCCCCCCCAGCTCCTCCCCCAGCTCCTCCCCAACCTCACCGAGTCTGTAATTACAGATTATTCACTTAATGGAAAACAACACATTGCAGTAAATCTTGTATGACAAATAAAATGCTTCATAATCTTCTCCCTCAGAATGCTCTCTTGCATTTTCCCTTGTGTCTGCTCATAACCCCAAATACACACAAACTGGTTTTGGTGTTTTGTGAGCACCTCACAATTCATTCTATTCATTTCATAGGTCCTTACTGAAAATCTACTATCACAACACACTTTCCTCTAATGCTAATCCCAAACTGTAATCGGACTCTAATTCTAACTCCAAAAAATGTTTTGAACCTCATAATGCCCTGGAGTAATGTGGACCTGGAAATGTCCCCAAAATAAACATGTCCCCACAAGTATACCTATACCAGGACTCCACACACATACACACAGGGACATGCTACATTTCTCAGTTGCTGCACACTTGGTTGTGTGACAGGGCGGTGCAGATAGACCTTGCGTGAAATGCAGCTCTTAGCAAACACATGTTATAATTTATTTTTATTGCAGTGATTTATGTTTTTTGGGATCGCCCCTGGGGTAAAGACAGCAGCCGGGGGTAGGAAAGAACTGCCCTTCTGTTCAGATGCTTCAGTGTAGAAACATGCTTGTAAAGTGTACCACAGTCGGTTTGGGGGCAAGGCTAAACACGCAGTGGATTCATAGTTGGAATTTAATTAGTATAGTGGAATTTCATTAGTGTCGTCTCTTCTTTTACTCCTGTTGTTTCACATGTGCTGCTGTTTTGGCAGCGAACGTTGCTGACGCAATACCTCAGGACAGAAAACCCAACACAAAATGTCAAACGATACGATAGACTCCCACGTGTCTCTCTAAGAACCAGGCGTGCTGTGGGCCAGATGTACTAGAGAATGAACATTAAGTGCTAATAGTTTTTTTTATTTCAGAAATGGAAAGTGCGATCTGATTGTGCAATTGCAGCAATTTGGTAACTGTCATTCAAAGCAGAGTGATGCAGCAGAGCATGACGGTCGTGCAGGTGTTCAAACCAACCTGTCATTTTGAGATGTTGGTATTCAACAAGAAAAACACAAGATCAATCAGGTTCATGTAGGAATGCAGATGTTTTACATAAGAAATGGATGAGGCGCCACTGAGCGTGCTCTGCTGCCCAGTCTCATTAAGGTCATCACTGCCTAATAAGGATTTGTCTTGTGTGAGTGAATGGAAACCACTGCTGAATGTGTATGACCTACAGGCAGTTTTTTTAAATTAAAAACTATATTGTTACTGTGACAAACAGCACCACGGAGCTTTAGATTAGGTTAGGACATCCTGGTGGTCGTCAGTGTGGACTACAGCAACAGAATTTCCTGCATTCTCACCCTAGTTAGGAAGCCAGGCTTTCCTAACTACTGGTCTCCTTTCAAGATGTAGCTTGATTGTTTTCTTGTAAGTCGCTTTGGATAAAAGCGTCTGCTAAATGCATAATATATAAATATAAAAAAATATACAACATTTTTTTAAATGACTTCTAAGATGAAGAGCTATATACTGTATATTATTGAGGTTTCAACAGGGAACCTATATATATATTTATGTACTATATAATTAATATTTTATTACTTTTGTTTTGAAAAAAATCTGCATGCAAATGATGGAAATGCCATCCAAACTGTTTTTGAAAACTCATCAGGTGCACGATGTAGGTGCATCAGGATCAGTGGCTGCTTCTATTAGAGTTTATTAAAAAACGATCGATGGCAGCGTTAGGGAGACACTGGCTTTTGTTAAGTTGGATTTACTTTCTGAAGACCAGTTTTTTTCCTACTAAACTTCTCCAGTGCAAATTTAAGAGGATGGCCAGATGAAGAGCAACTCAAGTCTACAATACAAACTGCTAATTAGATAACAGTTCCACGTGCAGAGTGTTCACTGTTAACTGTTAATGTATTTGTGACATAATCATATTGTTCATACCTCCTGTCTGATGAGTCAACTCCTTCTCTCTGTGTAGTGTTCAAACAATGCCGTCGTTATTACACTGAGTGGGAACTATTACTCAAAACAAAGTCTCTGTCTTTATGAGCAGCTGTCAAACTAGTTTTTCCTGAGCGTTCCACCCATTAGCCACAGGCATGTGTTTAAGTCATGTATGTGTGTATGTGTGCCTGCATATATGTGTGTGTGTTCATTTGCCTTCAAAAAGTGAGTGGATGACGAGGGCGTGTAGTCTTTAAACAATAGTTTCAGAGGTTCATTAGGCGCAGAGAGGTTGTTGTTTTTTGAAAATGTAATTCTGCTGCATGTGTCAGCAGCTCACACCAACAGTCACCTACACCTACAACACCAACTTCACCAACATCTACTTCGAGCTGCAGCCGCAGCTGATTTGCAAGTTTAAACGTGTTCAAAGGAATCTGGTTCATAATGTAAATGAAGATTCAAGTTGGACTCTTTGACTCTTTGACAACTTTCATTTTTCTGGTTTAAAAATTAAAAATTAAATTTTTGCAGTTACTGATGAAATATTGCTTACATAAAATAATACTGCTGACATGGACAAGGTGCCTTGAAAGAGAGGTTTGCTGTAGTACAGTTTGTACATTGAGAAATTGTTTGCATTAGTTTCGTGTGGTCTAGTATTGATGTAGTGAAACCATTTGCAGACAGGTCATCTCCCAGGGAGCGACACATGGTTTGTTTGTATTTGCTGCTTCTCATTGACATATGGATACATCACTTTTGACAAACCCCTCTTCACCCCCTCCTGTACCAAACGGTTTGAGTTTCCGAGTAAGTAAAATCTTCTCTTTTGTGATGCACATTTTTAGCCCTTTTCTCTGTTGCATGATCCCATGTGATCTAAGGAGAATGGATTTAGACAGCACGTGAACATGCTTGATTGGATAAACTTGAGGTACAGTGCTTGATTTGGTTTGGAAGACTTTCACATGTTCATCGTATGCAGACGACTCCTTAATCTTTTACAATCTTCTCCGACCCTCATCTCTTCAGTTTCTTAGATTTTTGGTTACAATTGGTTACAATTGTACATGCATGTACAATTTGTTACAATTGTACATGCATGATATGTACGCCTGTCGAAATGATTCAATTCAACGAAGTACTTTATATCCCACTGCACTCAGAATCCTACTCAGGTCATTGTTTACAGTGAAACTTTGGCAAGTTTTCACCACATCCAGCTGAGAATGCAGCTCCACTCATCTTTCTAAAGTCTGAGAAACTTTACAACAAATTAAAGGATGTTAAAAAGATGTAGAAAAAATACCTCACATATAGAAGTAGTTTTAACTTCTCAAAATCCTCCAAAACTAAACGTTTTCAAATGTCTCTCTGTTCCCTCTCTCTGGTCTTCACAAGGATACATGCACAGACACACACACACACACACACAGACTTTGGGTGAGAAAGTGAGTGGGAGTGTTCTCAGGCTTTGGGCTGGGCTGATTTGGGTGAGACACAGAGGGGTGTGGTTACCACCAGCCTCCAAAAAACGATCCTTCCCTTCACTTTGTTGCAGTCTGCACCAGAGGGAGCAGGGTGCAGAGGTGCAGGGAGTCAAGGGAGAGTGAGCGTGAGAGAGGCAGTCTGCAGCTCCTCTCTACTCCTTTCTACTCACTATTGGGCCGTACTGTTGCTGCACTCTTCTGTGGTCATCATGAGTTTGTATGGGTCCCAACAGGGGCTCAACATTAGCCGCAAGGGCGGCTCTAAGAGCGACCTCACCGGCGTCGGCACCTACCCGTACTCACGGAGTGAGGTGATGCACGGGGGAGGCAATGGATACGACCACTACGGGGACGGTTACAGAAGCTTCTCCTACTCAAAGTCCACCAGGGGCAGCACAGGGGGCGGAATGATGAGCGGAACACAAGGAGGAATGATGATGGGCAGTGGAATGTCGGGAGGAATGATCATGGGAAGTGGAACACAAGGAGGAATGATGGTGGGGAGCGGAACACAAGGAGGAATGATGGTGGGGAGCGGAACACAAGGAGGAATGATGGTGGGGAGCGGAACACAAGGAGGAATGATGGTGGGGAGCGGAACACAAGGAGGAATGATGGTGGGGAGCGGAACACAAGGAGGAATGATGGTGGGGAGCGGAACACAAGGAGGAATGATGGTGGGGAGCGGAACACAAGGAGGAATGATGGTGGGGAGCGGAATGGCCGGCGGAATGAGGTTTGGCAACATAGTTGTTAAAAAGTTGAAAAGTGTTGCAGTAAAGTGCATGAAAACTTCAGAATGGAATTTAACAAAAAATGTAAATGTATTTCACATTTGACCAGTTCCTATTGAGTATATATACAATTTCCTCAAATGAATCATCTATATATTATTCATTATCATATAATTGTGGCTGTGTGTCCTTAAACACTGGATGAAAATCAAATGTCCTTGTTTCTAAAGATCATCTGAGGCCAGTGGGAAACACCGGTTGACCTCATTTATTTTCTTGACTTTTGTTTGTTTTTCCCTCACAGTCACCTGTATCTGCTCTGTTCTCGTTTCTGGAGGCAGGCCTTAATCTGGTGACATATTAAATATTTAACAACAAAAACCTGTTTTAAGCCCAGTATTATTGTCAACTCTGTAGCATACATTATAGACCTTCAGCAAAAGTACTGCATGTACTGTAAGTACGACAGAGTACTTTATTAAACAACTGCACAACAGTCTCTGCAGGAATGGCAGTTCCAGTAGAAATGACTGCAGACTTCACAGCTCTGATCTGATCTGAGAGCAGTTTACAGAAGATCCTGTCTGGTTTGTTGAAGGCGTTACCTCATCAACTGAACCTTAAATTAAGTTCAATTATATATATATGAAAAAGTGGCTGCGATGTCATTAGGGCCTAAGTGCCGTCTCTTCTCTGGTTATTGAAATTATAATTGAGCATATTTTCATGTTTGTGCAACAGATTTTCCTCCGTTCAGTCAAACACCCTGGTGATTTATAGCTCACATCAAGCCGCTAAGGCTCTCCCTGCTGCTCCTGCAGAGCACTGGTGCTCTTATTCTGCAGTACTTTATCACAGTCATAAATCATTGAGCCTTAAAAGTACAGCACAGGTTTTTAAGTGATGTTGTACAACTGGCGGCTCGCAGGCCATATCCAGTCCACCGAACCGTTCACCTGCGACTGCATTCATTTCTAATTTATTTTATTTTTGTGTCCGACCATCAAATGGTGCAGACAAATATAGTTGGTGCCCCCTGTTGGCTGGTGTTTATATTCAGAGTGAAAGTTAAAAAATACAGAAACAGTTCCAAGCTAGATTCATGAAATATCGGTTTTTAAGTGATGTACAGTTCCAAGCTAGATTCATGAAATATGAGAAAATAAAAGGATATTTGTCCTGTTTTTTTTTTTGTTTTTGTTTTACGTTGTGTTGTACTGCATGTTGACTCTCATGTCCCTCGGTCTCACACTGACACAGAGGAAGACATCAGTGACCTGATGTTTTTACTGCTATGGAGTAATCTTCATCTTAATAACACAGTGACAGTTCTTATTATTTTTAATTGCTTTTAATTAATGCAGTGTTTTGCCAAAACCAAACATTTCATAAATACTGTACTTACTCTAAAACTCCCAGTGTTCAGACTCCACCGTTGGCTGTGCTGAATTGCATAACGATGTCACGATTTACATTCCTCATCTGTTATCAGAACAAGTGGAGGTAAATGTTTATGTAACGTTCATTATTTAATAAACACAAACGCCCGTCAACGTTACTATGGTCAGTATTAGTATTACATTAAAGAATGTGCTGGTAATCAGAGTTGCCAGTTTGAATCCTTCTGTTTCTTCAACAGAAGCAAAACTTTCCCTGAGCTTAAAAAAAAACAAACAAAAAAAAAAACGTGCAGTACGCTGCTCCTGTGTGTCTGTTGTTAATCAATGAGGTTTCATACAGATTAAATTCAGTAAATTCAGAGTAACTGCCTCCGGGGCTTTAATAGAGTACTGAAAACATTGAACTTGATTTTTATCCCCCTCTCATGCCAGTGACACTTAGGGGTCCCTCAACCTCTGATTGGGTAACACCATCCATGCAACTACACCTTTCGTGAAAGAATTATATATTACGTTTTAAACAGTGCTCTAACATCGATGCCTCTCCTCTGCTGCCCCCTACAGTGCATCCAACCTCAGTGCCATCCATCAGAAGGCCTTGAACATGCAAGCTCAGTGTCAGGAGTATCTGAAAAAGGCCGAATTCGCTCTTCAGTCGGTGAGTGACATTTGACCTCAATGTATTTTTTCTTCTTCTGGTCGAACTGAGAGATTTTCTTTCTTTTTTTTTAAGAGAAGACAGAAAAAACAGGCCCTGTTTGTAAACTGAGTCGCTGCATCAGTTCCATTTTAATGAGAGTGTGTTTGAACTTGTTACCCAAACCAGGCTGATAGTGGAAGAATTTTGTTTATTTCTCTATTTGGATCCATTTTTGGAACCAAAGTGCCTGGAGTGCAGTTCTAGCTGTCACAGGATCCACAGAGAGATTTACAGAGTGGGTTCTGCACATGTTCCACTGTGAGCCGTGGAACATCAAACATGCCTCCTCACATTCGTGTTGAGCAACTTCCCCTAAATTATCTCTTTTTACCCAACTGTGATACCTCCCCACCCACTGTGGGAGTGGAACTTATTTGCCTCTTGGCTTTGCCCCCTCCCCTCCCCTCCCCTTTTTTTTCATGACTGTGAGACCGTGCACAGTGTCTCTATTTAATCTCCTCCAAAGTCTTGAAATAATCCAGGATTGAAACGCGTTCACTGCGAACTGTCTCATCTGTCACAATCTAAAGGCCACACTGTAAAAGTGTCAACCAAGCCCCACATCAATTTTCATCAATTTTTATATTTTTGGAAACGAAGAAAAGTGAAACTTTTCAGTCGATCGACTCTGCTCCTGGTCCAACGATGGTTCAGAGGTTTTTGTCTGGTCCAACAAAGGACCAGAGTACGTTCAGTCTTGGTTGAAGTTTTAGGACCTGATTCTGAAGTTAGTTCTTATAATGGGATGTCCGATAATATCAACTGACCGATATTATCAGCCCAATATTAGCATAATTATATCTGTAACAATCGTTATTGGTTTTTCTTCCGATAATGAATACCCGATAACACCATGCCTCTGTTTTGCCAAATGATGTGTGCCCTAAAAATAGATTTGGGGAAAAATGTAGGTATATGAAGGTAAAAGTCACTAGATGGCAGCAATATCAGGCATCCCTATACTACCTACCTAGAGACCTTATTGGATTTTCCCAACAGTCATGGTCAGTCCTCCATTCGTCTTCTACTCATTATTCCTGATCATGGTTTTAGGATGAGCTGATCCTCAATCAGCAAGTTCTCCCTCGAAACTAAGATGTCAAAGTTCCATTAGGACCAGGCTGTAAGGTCAAAGGTCATACTAAACTATTGCTAACATTCTTATTTCATCTTAGCGTCTTTTCTATGCTGTCGATTCTCGTCATGCAGGGTCCCTCTGGTGATGCCGAGCGCTACATGATGATGGCCAAAGAAACCATCGAGCAGCTGAAGAATTGTGCTATCGACCTGAGACACATGGGACATTCCAACGACAACATAGTCAGGACGTAAGACGGACCACTGACTGTTTTGTTTTTCCCTCGTTTCCTCGATTATATTTCTTTATTTGTCAAATATCCCTACTTTCTTCCCCATGCATAGCTTGGAGCTGTGTAAAGACCAGCTGAAGGGCGTCCACATGGCCATCACTGGGAGCATGCGGAGGAGAAGCACAAGAGGGAGCTCTGGAGGATGGGAGGAGCCTGGAAGAAGCTTCCATGATGCCATTGCCTGGATTGGACAGCAAAAAGTATGCACACACACACACACTTTAGTCTAAGAAAACAAGCAAACAACGTTTGCAGAACTTTTTCCCTAGGGCAGCAAAAGCATCATTGCGTTTGGTTAGCTAAGCTTAGCATTAGCTGTCGTCTTACTCATGTGAGATCTTATTTTGGTTCAAGTTATTTTGCCATCATGACAACGTGACACTTTCTTCAAATTAATCATGAAAATAACTGAATGTTTCAAATGCAGATTTGATGAAATTTAGTCTCAAAGAGTCCGCGGTGAAACAAAGACTCCAGAGACGGCAGGATCAGGTGAAAGCAGCAGATGTTTGAGGAATTCCAATGAGACTCTTTTCAAGTTTAAACAGGCTCTTTTCAGAGGCCGTCTTCCAAACTCTGAGTTCAGAGCTGGCATCAAATCAACCACAGGCAGGAAAAACAACTAGAGCAGCTTTTATTGGAGCATCAGAGAAAGGACAGAGTCAAACATACTCACTTGTTCTCAGGCAGCGCTGTGGAGACTCCGACTTAAAAAGAAGGACTTGTTTTGTCCGAGTGATTTAACGTTCCCTCTGGTGGATTCCTCTGATGTGGTACCTAGTGTTTTCTCACTGAATAAAGGATCTGATTCACTGCCACTCCCTGCTGCTGTTATTTAGTGCGTTTCTGCCAAACGGTTGTAAAACACTGAAAACCTTGTCAGGATCAGTGTGTGAATTTTTCCCTCTTGTATTCTTGTCATTAAAAAGGTTTTTGTGTGTGTGTTTTTTTTAATTTTCTTGTTACGTTAGCGTCTGATTGAAACTGCTTCCTGGGGAGATGATCCTGCAACCATCCAGCAGCAGCTCGTCAGCCACCAGAAGTTTCACAGCTCCATCCAGCGAAGCGTGGAGGTGGACCGGGCCAGAGACGACCTGGTGGGTGTGGTTTGGTTAGAGTCCATTTAAGGCTGAAAAATGAACCTTTGTGTTATTGTTACTGGTTGATTACAGTTCAATAATAATGTGGCACACAGGAAATGGGTGTAGCTTGACAGTAACCCCTTAGAAAAAGTGAATTTTGTAACAGCGATTTTTCTGTCCCACCACAGAACAAACGGGGAGATAAAGGCAATCTTCATGCTCTGGACCAAGAGTGGGACAGTCTCCAGGTGAATAGAACCATCATCACCACTAGAGGGTACCATCCTCATCAACTCGAAATTGGTTGTCTTTGGTGTTAATAAGTTCCTCCTCTCCACAGCAATTGTCCTTCCAACGGACTCAGCAGCTGCAGGAGCTGCAGCAGATCATCCAGGAGATCTCCAAGGAGATCATGTGGGTGAACGACAGGGAGGAGGAGGAGCTGGTGTTTGACTGGGGAGACAAGAACATCGACCAGTACATCCCCAGGAAGCAGGAGAGCTACTCGGTGAGTCATTATATGTCTGTAATAATGGATCATTTGGAGACACTGTCCCCTAGTGCTCAAAACACACAAAGTTGCAACAACATTCCCCCCCCCCCCCCCCCCCTTTTGGTCAAAAAATAAACTCGATGAAATTGATCTTTGTTTTTTAAATTATATTTTGTTTTTTTAAAAATGCAGAAATAAACAGTATCCAAATTGATCTACTGAACTTTTAAGTTCATGTGTTGTTAGTTTACACAGTTTCACTCAGTATAATCATATACTGATTCAAAATAAAAGCTGAAAACTGAATTTAATGAAAAAAAAAGATTTTACTTTCTTTATATGGTTTTATATAGTTATTTACATAAAAACATACATATTTACATAAAACATATTTCAAAAACCTACAGGAAGTTATTTCATTGCATATTGTAGATTATAAATGTCAAAAATATTACTTAGCAAATTATACATTTTGCATTGTTGATTATTTGAGGAACATAATCAGGCTTTTTACGACTCAACCTTTTTTTTTTTACAAAGATAAATCTATCCCAACTGACTGTCACTCATCTGTGACTGGTTTGATTTTGGCAGCTGCACGCAGTCATTCAGTGGAAGCAGCTGTTGACGAATTTTGTCTTTGTCTCTGATGATTTATAATTTTGTTTTTAGACATTGATGAGCGCCCTGGAGGTCAAAGAGAAGGAGCTGAACAAACTGAAGACCAGAGTCGACACACTCCTGAAGAACAACCACCCTGCAGCGGACAAGATTGAGGTTTGAACAAAATATTTCTGTATTTAGATGACTTATTATTATTGTATTTAATTACATTGCTGTAAATATTTCTCTGTGTGTTCCAGGCCTACCAGGACACACTCCAAACCCAGTGGAGTTGGCTGCTCCATATTACAAAGTGCATTGATACTCATCTCAAGGAGAATGCAGCGTACAGCCAGGTGACGTCACCCAAACCAACTCACCGTTTTATTAAAGTCTGATGATGCTGTTATAGCTGAAGGTTAAATGTCTCCATGAATGTCCCTGTGTTCTCCATCAGTTCTTCAAAGAGGCCAACGAGACCTACAGTGCTCTGCAGAAGGAACACGAGACGGTGCGGAAGAGGTTCATATGTGACAAGAACACGCCTCTGGAGAACCTTCTGGAAATCCTCAAAGGACTGGAGGTACAGCACCTTCAAATCACTGCAGCTTATCATATATTTTAGTACTGTTTCTCAAACTGGGGTATGTGTACCACTGTGGCTCCCTCTAGTGTGTGGTTTCAGAATTTAATTTATGTACTGGTTTTACTGCTAATTAAATGACCATTAAAAATATAATCAAATTAAAATTCACCAATTATTAATCCATGATGACAACCCTAAACATACACACACACACATACACACACACACATATATATATGGTTTATTTAGCTTTTTATACATTGATTCTTTCTCCATCCTCAGAGGGAGAAGGAGAGGATAATGGACAACAAGAGACAAGTCCAACACCTGGTCAACAAGTCCAAGAGCATCGTGAGACTCAAACCCAGAAACCCTGAGGAGAAGAGCAGCACCCCCGTCATAGTTAAAGCCCTCTGTGACTTCAAACAAGACCAGGTGAGTCTGATCTTCTGATCGCCATGACGATGATGTCAGATAAATTCTTCTTTTACAGCATCTAAGACCTGCCTTTGGGTTTCATTCCTGTCCACAGAAGGTGATCTGTAAAGACAACGAGGCCATCCTGAAGGACAACAGTCAGCGCAGTCGATGGGACATCACTGGTCCAGGAGGCCTGGACATGTTGGTGCCCTCTGTGTGTCTGATCATACCCCCACCAAACCCCCTCAGTGTCAGCCTGGCCAACAAGTAAGAAACCCACGATGAGGTTTTAGCCTGAAAATGAAAGTTTTCTCAATTCTCAAAACTTTTTTTTCCTGCTGTTTTGTTGTAGGAACGAGCAGTATTATGAAGCCATCCTGTCCATCTGGAACCAGCTGTACATCAACATTAAGAGTCTCATCGCCTGGCAGTACTGCCTGACTGACATCCATCACATCAACTCCCTCACCATATCCATGGTCTGGGATGAACCTTTTTATTTTATATTTTTTATAAACATTTGTCCTGAAATGCATTTTACAAAATAACTATATATGTTTACACCTGGGCCCTGGATATACTTTACATCTGGGAAAACATATACATCTTTAAGATACGAGTTAAGCTTAAAACTTAAAGTCAAACCTTTGTGTATGTGTTCGTGTGTGTTCAGTTGGCCAAGATGCGTCCTGAGGAGTATCGTCAAATCATCAAGAACCTGGAGACTCACTACGAGGAGTTCAAAAGGAGCTCCCTGGGATCGCAGATGTTCGCTGACGATGACAAAAGGAGCATCGAGAACCAGTTCACAGAGGCCCAGTCCCACTACGACCAGCTGGTGGTGCAGTTGCCAACCTATGGTTAGTATCACAATGTCCTGCTCCGGTGCTGCTTCTAATGCAGTGAACTCTCTCTTGATGTTGATGCAGAAGTTTGAAAAAAAAAAGTTTTTCAAACTTACATTAGAAACATGTTTGTTAATAGTACAGAGACGATATCCAGTGACATCTACTGGTGATCCTGCATATTGTATCAAATTAAAGACTTCTTCAAGTGACTTCAAGTTCTGTGTTTACACCTAGTCGTTCAGTTTCAACAAGATGAAGCACATCAAGCAGCCAGGGAGAAAGAAACGCTGCTTCTCATTCAGCAACAGGCAGCAGCTGACGCCGAGGCCTGGAGGCTGGAAGAAGAAGCCAGAAGACTGGAAGAAGAACGCCTAAAGGCGGAACGCAGGAAACAGGCAGAGAAGAAAGCAAATGCCAAGAAAGAGCAAGTGATCAAGAAGGAGGTAGTGAAAGTGACCAAGTCGGAGCAGGGAAAGAAGAAAGTGGTGGTGTCCTCCTCTGCCTCCTCGCCATATTTCTCCTCCATCTCAACCTCCAACATTCTGTCGGAGCTGCACGCGCTCAGACTGAGGTTGGAGGGCACGGAGGGAACGCTGAGTCAGCACGTCCACATCTGTGTGGGAGATGAAGGTGTGCACGACTGTGGCCTCAGGATCTCACAGTTGGAGGTAGACGCGGATTCACTTCTAACCAGCAAAGTTCCTGCAGTTTTTTTTTCTTTATTCTTCAGCGTTGTTTTTCCTGCTTCCTGTTTTGTTGTGTCGTAGACGGTGCACAGTGACATCGATTCAATGCGCGAGGAGTTCTTACATCTGAGGGAGCAGATCCTCAGAGAGCTGGAGGACATGAATGACCCTGATAAAGCCCAGTTTCTACGCAGCGAGTTGGGCATCATCAACCAACGACTGGGCAGTTTGGAGAGCAGCGCCTCAGCCTACCTGCAGAGGTCAGACATCTTAAACTGGGGACACACTACTAGGCTATTTTTACAGGTTTTACCCAGAATTCCAAGTTGGACACATAGTTGCCATGGCAACTAGTTCACAAAAAATCTGTTGGTTTAACTTGGACATGCTTGTCCATGGGAGGGTTCGTGCATGAGTTTGATGCCTTAGACGTGGCTGTTAAGTATCTGATCTTCTGTTGTTCAGTCGTCATCTTTAACGTCAACTTTTTCATCCTCATATTTTCCCTGTATCTCGGCAGGCTGCGGGCGTTAAGGGACATGCTGGAGAGTGTGGCACGTGCAGAGGACATCGTGAAAGTTCATGAAGCGAGACTGACAGAGAAGGAGACCACGTCTCTGTCCCCTCAGGAGGTGGAGGAATATCTACAGACCCTGAAGGTAAAGCAGGGGGACTATCCGATTCCCATGAAAATCTCCTACTAATTTGAGACAGAAAGTTCCTTACTTCTTTCCTGTTTATGGCACTTCCTGTCCGCTGTGTAGAAAATGAAAGCCGAGTTGGATCAGAAGAGGGATGTTCTGTCCTCCATGGAGGCAGAGTTTTCCAAGGCCAGTCACTGGAATGGGCAAGTGGGCGGGGCCTTCCACAGGTGCGACATGATGCTGTCAAAGTACAAGGAGCAGGTGGGGCAGCTCTCTGACCGCTGGAGACGAATCCAGGGGCAGATCGACACCAGGTATGTGTCTCAGTGCAAGAAGTTACTGCAGCCATCCGTATGAATGCTGTCTGACTGTCTTAGAACTTTTTACCTTACTCTTGAAACCAAAGTTTTGATCTTTGTCTTTTTTATTCTTCCTCGTTCACTCATCCTCAGACACCAGGACTTGCAGCTGTATCTACCCCAGCTCCAGCACTACAGGGACACCAGCGACTCATTGAGTAAATGGATTGACGACACCAAGAGAAAACAGGAAAACCTGCGGTCCACCAAGATAAAGAACGTGGAAACACTAAAAGACCACATTAACAAACAGAAGGTTTTTTTTGTTGTTGTTTTAAGTAACCTGTCACTAACCTGTCACTAACCTGTCACTCTGGGTTGATGGTGTGTGTTCATGTTTGTGAAAAACGAATGACATGACGTTTTGGTGTCGTTGCTTTTCAAGGAATTGAACTCAGAAATCAAATCAAGAAGAGAGACATTAGAAAGTGTTCTGAAGGACAACGAGGCCTGTGTGAACTCTGTCAAGGTAATAGAGCTTTTAGAGATTTTTTAAAAATAAAATCTATTTATTGTTTTCCCTTTTCAGAGACGATAAATAATGTATCCGTATTTTTCAAAATGTCTTAACTTCATTATCAGGGTATAAAATAAATTTCAAATTGTACCACAACTGTGTTTCATTACAGGATCATGAAATATACCTGACCTCTTACACATCTGGTCTGGAGACTCTGCTCAACATTCCTTTCAAGAGGACCATGCTGAGGTCCCCGAGCATGGACCTCAATCAAGAGGTGAGTTTAAATTTGTAGAACCAAAAATATTGAAAGGAACACAGTTTCCACATGTATATTTACATTTTTACTGTGTTCCAGGCTACACAGCTCCAGACCCGTTACATGGAGCTGCTGACACTGTCTGCGGAGTATTATAAATTCCTGGGAGAGTTGATGAAAAACATGGAGGAGCTCAAGGTACTGTGGAGCAACTGTGTGTTTGCTTTTACGTTTCCAATAGCAATTATTAAAAATACATATTCAGTAAAATACTCCATGATACTTAACTACAAAAGGTCAAATGGTAAAAGCCCTACCACTTTGGCTGGTAAGTTTAAATTCAACTTAATCAGCCTTAAACTCTTAGAGAAGAAGTTCCATGGATACAGCAGGGGACACTCTTACATAAAACAAAACCTAGGATTCAATTTAAAACCTAACGTTAGACACTAATCTATTGTTGTCTTTATTTGATATGAAACAACATTGGTGAAAATGTGACTATTCAATGGCTGTAAGCTAGTTACCTGAACTTCAACTTTCTTGATCTTGATCTTGCTTTCAGATACGCAACACCAGGATTGACCTGTTGGAGGAGGAGCTCCGCCGTCTGAAGGAGGACATTCATGATCGTAACAACAAAAACAAATCACTGGAAGACGCGGTCTCCCGCTACCAGGTGGAGCTGTCTCACTCCCAAGACCAACTGTTGCTAATGGAAGAGTCGAAGAGGAGCTCAGAGATACACGTCAGTGCCACCAGGGAAAAAATGGATACCACGCAAAGCCGCCTGTCAGATCTTGAAGATCAGGTGAACCGACTCACCTATCTTCTTGAGGAGGAAAAGAGGAAAAGGAGGCTGGCCGAAGAGCGCTACACTCAGCAGCAGGAGGAGTTTGAGTTAGTGCTGAGGAAGAGGCAGAAGGAGTATGAAACAGTCAGCTGGTCTAAGGTGGAGTTGGAGAAGAGCTCGGTCAGTAGGGATCATGAGCTTGAGCAGCTACGGCGGCAGCTGGCTGATGAAGCTGCGAGGAATAAGGAGCTGCAGAAAGAGATTTCAAAGGTAAGGAGCGATTGCAGTGCAGAGATCAATAACCTAAAGGTGAGCTACGAATCCCAAATTCATGTCAGTCGAACAGACATTCAGAGGCTGACAACCCAGAGGGAGGAGAACACGGCTGAGCTCCAGCAGCGGTGTGAGTGGATGGAGGCAGAGAAGAGGAATTTAGAGGAGGAGCTCAGGAAGCTCAGGATGTCCATCAGCCAGGCTGAGGAACAAAAGGCCAAGGCTGAGGAAGAGGTACACAGTCAGCGTCTGGTCATCACGGAGGAAAGCCGAAGAAGAAGAGAGCTTGAAAATGAGGTTGAGGTTCTGATGAAGCAGAGAGACCAGAATAGCAACCAGCTTGAAGAAAGACTGGCTGAGGTCATGAATGCTCTGCGGGAGAAAAGTGAACAGCTGGAGTATGTCACCCACAGTCTAGAGGAGGAGACGCGCAGGAGAAAAACTGCAGAAGAAGGACACGGTGTGTTAGAACAGAGTTTATCTCAGCTGCAGGTGAAATTAACCAACTCATCAATAGTTTCAACCCAGCTAAGGGAGTGCGAGGTGGAGCTTCAGACAACACGAATAGAGCTGGAGCGAGAGAGGAAAGAGAGGAGCAGGATAGAACAGAACCTGAGCAGGTTGCAGAGTCGCATCAAAGACCTCCAGGCCGTGAGGGATAGTCTAGAGAGCCAGGTGGAAAATCTGAGGAAGACCAACCAGGAGGAAGCTGCCAGAAGAAGTCAGGCAGAAGCAGAGCTGGAAAAGACGGCCATGTCAGTGAGAGAGTACACGAGCACCATCGCGGTGCTTCGTCAGTGTCAAGAAGAGGCCAGCACCTCAGGAAAGAGGGATGAAGAAGAGTGGCAAATGTTGCACGAGGAGCTGGAGAGAAGCCTCAAGCAAAACAAGGCCTACATAGAGCAAGTGACGCAGCTAAGAAGTGAGTTACAGGCTCTGCAGCAACAACTTCTGCAGGAGCAGGCCAGGCTCAAAGAAGCCAATCTGAGAAATGAAGAACTTAATCGATCTATCAAGGAAAAGATTAGAGTTCTGGATGAGAATTCTCTAAGTCTTCGTAGGCTCCAAGAGGCGACTGAGACCCACAACAGAGAGAGGCTGAAGCTGGAGGAGGAGCTGAAGACAACAAAGCAAGATAAGGAGAAACTCTTGAGATCCAAACAGGGGAGTGAAGATGAGTTCTCTTCCCAGATAACTGCCCTGGACCTGCAACTAAAGGCCAGTGAGCGCAGCAACCTAGAGTACCGTACCCTGATCTCAGAGCTCTCCTCTGAGAGGGAGAAGCTCAAGCTGGAGACAGAGAGAATACAAAGACAGGCTACTGAGGTACATAGGTGTATAGCCTGTAGTCCTGGACTGTTCTGGTCTTTTCAAATCAGAGTATGCTTTATGACCAATCAACTTGTCATGACTTGTAGCCAAATCTGTGCTTGTTGCATGCTAGATAGCTGCTGAAGAAGCTTTGCCTCCTGACTGCTTTGATTTGAACACATATGTCTGTATGTGTTTGAATTAACATGCATGTATTTGTTTACATGCAATGTCATCTGTGCCGTTACGCCTCCTGAGCTCTGCCGCTCTCTGTCATCTTTCATACACCGTGCTCTGCAGAGATGTGGCCTGCATGCTTCTTTTTCTCCTCTTCTTTGTAAACAGTCAACGTGTCCACGTGGGCTACACAAGGGATGAAAGAACCTAGATAGGTAGAACAAGTTGAACTTGATGGGTCGCACACAGTTGCTTCCATGTGCTCCTTTCCCCCTGTGGGTAATTTGTCCGTCGACCCACATGGAACCTGTACACATGTAAAAATGGGTCCCAGTTGTCAGCCCACTTGTTTCGTTACTCTGCAGGATTGGGAAGAACTTTTTAGTTATAATTCAAAAGTGAGCGTCAATCAAAACCGAAAGTGAATTGGCTATAACTACTATGATCTACTTTCCAATCCTGAAATATATGTTTGTGTTTAAGTTTTTTTGGGGGGGGGATTCTTAGCATGTTGTGGGAAACTTAACAGTGCACACACAAACTCACAAAATTATTAAAATTAAATTATTAATTAGAACTATCTAAGTGTTTGTAGAACATTTTAAAAATGCATGACCTTGCTATTGGCTTTGTAAATGATTGCTTGATTTACACCAAATATTTGAACTGTCACTTAGACAAATCAAATTCTAGCACAATTGTAGTGCTAGAATAAGCCCAAGTGTTTATGTGTGTGTGTGCTGTACAGATAGTTTTAGCATTACCCAATTTTCTTTTAGAGTCAAACCCACATGTCATAGTGTTTTTAAGAATAAGTAATTTTGATTGCATCTGACCTTTTGTGCCAATTTCTCTCATTTCAGATAACGTCAACGATGCAGTCCACTCAGTCACAGTACACTGAAGTTGTAAAGGAGAGAGACACACTGTTGCTAAAATTACAATTCTCTGATAAAGACAAAGATCGATTCTTAAGCCTTGAGGAAGAACTCCGTCGTATCAAAATGTCCCTAGAATCTGAGCTACGCAGTAAACAACAACTGCAGGAAGAGATTGAAAGGTTGAGGAGGGATTCAAGTCACTGGAAGGACCAGTATGAAAGCAAACAGACCATAATAAGGCAGTATGACACCGACAAGGATCGTATGGAGAGGGAAAAGAACTCCTTAAAAAGTGAGATAGAGAGGCTAATGCGGGAACTCAGGGAGCTCGAGTCCCTGTATAAAAGTAAGCTGGCAGCCCTTCAGAAAGAACTACATGAGGTAACTGTTGTCAGGCAAACCATGGAGACGGAGCTGAAGAGTACTAGAGTATCCTCAACCTTAGATGCCTCTAATGTGATTTTTGATGGTGTGCGTAAATCAGTCACAGCAGACCAGCTGCTTGACTGTGGCGTATTAGACAAACCGACGTTGACTCAGCTTGTGAAGGGGCAGAGGTCCGTACCTGAAGTAGCTGCTGACAAGAAAATCAATCTCAAAGGGACAGGTCCAATCGCTGGGGTGATAGTTCAGGATCCAAAAAGTCCAGGTTCATCATTTGGACAACCCTGCAAACTGACTCTCACTGAAGCCAAGACACAGAATCTCCTTCCACCGGATTGCGCTGATCTACTTCTGGATGCCCAAGCTGCTACAGGCCACATTATTGACCCGAGGACCAATCAGAAGTTTACAGTTGAGGATGCGTGTAATCAAGGTGTGGTTGATTTGAAAGACAGGCAGAGATTGTTGGCTGCAGAAGCTGCAGCTGTAGGTTATAGAGGTCCAGGAATCAGCAAACCTCTTTCAGCATTTGAGGCCATGAAAAAAGGACTGATTGACAAAAACACAACACTGCGTCTTCTGCAAGCACAGGAATGTGTGGGTGGCATTCTTGATCCAGTCCTGAGTGTGTTTCTCCCCAAAGACACAGCCATTGAACGTAATTTGATTAATGATGACATATACAGAACACTGAACCAAAGACCAGAGCTCTACTTGGACCCAGAGAGTGAGGAGGGGGCAACTTATATGTCATTGAAAAGAAGATGTAAAGTGGAGCCACAAACAGGTCTTCTTCTTCTTCCAGTCTCAGTACAAGCAGACCCTTCCAAATTTGTGTTTGATGGCGTACGCAAGACAGTTACAGCAAAAGAGCTGCTTGATTGTGGAGTCCTGGACAAAAAAACATTTGACCAGCTACGAAAGGGTGAGAAAACCATCCAGGAGGTGTCAGAGGATAAGAAGCTCTTTCTTAAGGGGAAAGGACCGATTGCTGGTGTGGCTGCTGGGCCTTTGGGTAAAATGGCTTTGTCGGAAGCTAAACAGAAGATGTTCATGAGCACAGATAGTGCAGATTTGCTCCTGGATGCTCAGGCTGCCACAGGTCACATCATTGACCCTGCAAAAAATAAGAAGTTAACAGTAGAGGAAGCCTGTGCTCACGGGGTGGTTGACAATAGGGACAGAGATAGACTTTTGGCAGCCGAAGCTGCTGCAGTAGGCTACCGTGACCCTGGAACGGGCATGCCTCTTTCTCTATATGGGGCAATGAAAAAAGGGTTAGTAGACAGGAAAACTGGGTTACGTCTGCTGCAGGCCCAGGAGTCTGCAGGGGGCATATTAGACCCCAACCTCAGTGTGTTTCTCCCTAGAGAAACAGCTATAAATCGCAACCTTTTGGATAAAGACATATGTAATGTGCTAGACAAGAACCCTGTGTGTTACATTGACCCAGACACAGAGACTGAGGTCAGCTACGTTGCATTAAAGAAAAAGTGCAAAACAGAGTCTCATACTGGCCTAATACTGCTGCCAATCATTGAGCGTAAGGACCCTTCCAAGATAATGTTTGAAGGAGTCCGAAAGCCAGTTTCTGCACAGCAGTTGTTTGCTTGTGGAGTCCTAGACAAACCAACCTTGGATCAGCTAGTAAGAGGTGACAAAAGTGTTCAAACTGTTTCAGTTGAAAAGACTGTCTTTTTAAAAGGCACTGGACCCATTTCTGGGGTGGTAGCAGGGCATAAAGGTAAAATGTCATTGGCAGAAGCAAAGAAACAAAATCTTCTGCCTGATGATAGTGCATATTTGTTGCTTGAAGCCCAAGCTGCTACAGGGCACATTATTGAACCAAGCACTGGTGAAAAACTGACAGTAGAGGAGGCATGCGCTAAAGGAGTGGTGGATGTTAGGGACAAAATAAGATTATTGTCAGCCGAGGGTGCTGCTGTGGGATACAAAGATCCAAGTTCAGCTAAACTTCTCTCAGTATTTGAGGCCATGAGGAAGGGAATCATTGACAAGAAGGTTGGCCTTCGTTATCTACAGGCCCAAGAGTCAGTGGGAGGAATTTTAGACCCCAACCTAAGTGTTTTCCTGCCTAAAAACTTGGCCATCAAACACAATCTTTTGGATGAAGAGCTCTGCCAGGTTCTCAAGCTTAATCCTGCTTGTTATCTTGATCCTGAACCTGATAATGATGTTAGCTATGGGGCCTTAAAGGGAAGGTGCAAGAAAGAGTCTCACACAGGACTGCAACTTTTACCAATCTCTGAGAGATTTGACCCTTCCAAATTACTCTTTGAAGGTGTCCGCAAGACAGTCACAGCAAAGCAGCTGCTTGATTGTGGGGTCCTGGATCAGTTAACCTTTAACAAACTCATAAAAGGAGAAAAAACTGTCTCAGAGTTATCTGTAGATAAAAGGGTCTACCTAAAAGGGACTGGGTCCATTGCTGGTGTTGCAGCTGGGTCATCAAAGAAATTGTCCTTCACGGAGGCAAAGAAACAAGACATAATGGATTCTAATTGTGCTAATATGTTACTGGAAGCACAGGCAGCCACAGGCCATATCATTGACCCCAAAAGTAATCAAAAGCTGACTGTGAAAGAAGCAAGTGCCAAAGGGGTAGTGGCTAAAGAGGATGAATCAAAGCTGTTTGCAGCTGAGGCTGCAGCAATTGGTTACAGAGACCCAAACAGTACCAAACTTCTGTCTGCAGGACACGCCCTGAGAATGGGGTTAATTGACAAGGATACAGCCCTTCGCATACTTCAAGCTCAAGAATCTGTTGGGGGTATTTTAGACCCAAGTCTAAGTGTGTTTCTACCCAGAGAATCTGCATTAAATCGAGGTCTTATAGATGAAAACTTAAATGAGGCCCTAAACCAGTATCCTGAGTGTTACCTGGACCCAGTCACCCAAAAACCAACAACATACATATCTCTTAAACGTCAGTGTAAAGCAGATCCATTTACAGGTCTTTTGTTTCTTTCTGATATAGCCACAAAGAAGTCAGACCTGACTGTGCAGGGTCTTAGGGGTGAGGTATCAGTCTCAGAACTTGTGGATGCAAATCTGCTGGAAGCATCTGACATTTGCAAACTAAGTGAAGGGAAACTCACTAGCAAAGACATCGAAGAACGCTTACACTCTTATCTAAGAGGGTCCACCTGCATAGCAGGAGTTTACGATGAGGCCAGCGATAAAGTGATGCCGATCTATCAGGCCATGAAAAATAAATTGTTACGACCTGGGACTACTTTGGAACTGCTTGAGGCCCAGGCTGCTTCAGGTTTTATAATTGATCCTGTAAACAACTTGTATCTGAGTGTAAGTGATGCCTATAGCAAAAGACTCTTTGGGCCAGAGTTTAAGGATAAACTATTATCAGCAGAGAGGGCTGTGACTGGTTATAAGATGCCAGGGACAAACACTATCATCTCCCTCTTTCAGGCTATAGAGAAAGGTCTAATAGAGAAAGGCCATGGCATCCGTCTACTGGAGGCCCAGATTGCCAGTGGTGGTATCATTGATCCTGAACATAGCCATCGAATCGATGTGGATGTGGCCTACAAAAAAGGGTACTTTGACGAAAACATGAATAAAATCCTCACTGATGAAAGTGATGACACCAAGGGATTCTTTGACCCGAACACAGAGGAAAACCTGACCTATTTGGAATTAAAGTCCCGCTGTATCACAGATAAAAACACTGGTCTCGTCCTATTGCCCATAGTAGACCCGAAAAAGTTAGAGTCAACCCTGAAGAACACCTTAAGAAAGAGGAGAGTGGTAATTGTTGACCCAGAAACCAACAGAGAGATGACAGTACGTGAAGCATATGACAAAGGATATATTGACTATGAGACCTATTTGGACCTGTCCCAGCAAGAGGGTGAGTGGGAAGAGATCACAATTACTGCACCAGATGGATCTGTACGGTTTGTTATCAATGATAAAAAGACAGGGAGGCAATTTGACATTAATGATCTCCTTGAAAAAAAAATCATTAATCAGTCTGTCGTTGATAAGTACCGTTCCAATACCATCACACTTACTGAATTAGCAGATATTATCACTGAGAAGACAAAACATGGATCATTGTCATCATCTTCCTTGTCAGGATCAAGACAACCAGCATCAACCTCATTTACATCCTCAGTGACATCATCATCAAGTGTAAAAAAATCAGAATCTTCAGGTTCAATGTCACTGACTTCATCTGATGTGCCAAGACCTTCCTCGCCTTCTTTTGGCAAAATGACCACAACAAGAACTACTATGGTTACAGAAAGGAGCTCCACAATCAGCGCTGTTTCAAGAGAATCACCTGATTCTCTAAAGCATAAATCCAGTGTGTCTATCACTCTAGCGTCTCCCGTGGAAGCAGTGGGTGAACAGGAACCCGTGGGTGCCATCTTTGACACAGAGGCTGTAGAGAAGATTTCCATCACAGAGGCTCTTAACCGTGGCTTGGTGGATTCAATCACGGCTCAGAGACTGCTAGAAGCCCAAGCCTGCACTGGAGGAATTGTCAATCCTGCCAATGGAAATCGGCTGAGCATCCAGGAGGCATCTCGTCTTGGTTTAATCAATGACGACATGGCAAATAACCTTAAATCTTCACAGAAGGCTTATACAGGCTTCGAGGATGTGAAAACAAGAAAGAAGATTTCTGTTGCTCAGGCCATGAAGGAGATGTGGCTTCCATATGAGGCAGGAAACAGGTTCATGGAGTTTCAGTATGTAACTGGAGGTCTCTATGACCCAGAAGCTAACTGCAGAAGATCCATTGAAGATGCTCTTAACATGGGCTGGTTGGATGTGAGTGCTGCCCAAAAACTTGCAGACGTCAGGCACCATACAAAGAACCTGACCTGCCCCAAGAGCAAACTCAAGATCTCCTACAAAGAGGCTCTGGATAATTGCCTTGCGGAGGAAAGCAGCGGGGTTAGGATGCTCCAGGCTTCGTCTGTATCTTCTAGGGGTATCAGTAGTCCATACAATGCTGCTTCAGCACCAGGGTCCACCAGCGGGTCCAGAAGCGGCTCAAGAAGAAGCTCCCGCAGGAGCAGTTTTGACCTTGGCTCCTCCACCTCTTCTCCAGCTACTCTCCACAGTCATTCGAGCTTCGCCAATTTTTTCAGTCGATAAAAATCCAACATATTGATCACATTTTGTTTAAAATTGTGACTTTTGTTTTGTTAAAAATCATTTTATTCAAGAAAATAAAAATCTGTAATGTTTACAAGGAGAAATATAGTTGAAACTTTCGAAAATGCTTTTCAAAAAACGGTTTGTTATTGCTTTGTTTTCAATTGCTACTTAAACGGATCAGAAGAATGACTTCTTCAAATGTGGATTTTTATTTGTTTTTGTGAACTGGGAAAAAAGTATTATTACAAGTTAACTTTTAATATGTGGATTAAGATTGGATTGTATACTATTTTAAATGCTGGTGCTCTAAATTAGGCTTACTGATGGCCAAAACCTGTTTTTCAAATACAGTCTTTACAATTTGCATTGAAAGTACATATAATTTTTCAAAGCGTTTTATCGCAAACACTTATTAGGCAAAGTATGTTTACATTTGTGTGCTATTATAGTATCATGTGCCTCTGTTTGTGTAGGTGATGCACAGTTGGGTTTCAAATATGTACTGCTTGACTATTTTTTTTTTTCTGATAAGCAAACTAATTCATTGTTTACTTGCATTTTATGGCTACATCTTTTGTAACAGCTCACATCTCACAATAAAAACAAGTTTTGAATCTTGATACAGTGTTTTGTTGTTACTCATATACACATTATTACATTTTCACTACATATTTCATGTTATAGATATCTGTTTAAATATTTACTAAGAGTTTAAGGAAGACTTATTTACAGTCAAAATCAAAAGAACACACAAATGAAGAAATCAAATTACAACATAAAGCCCATGTCTAACGTATCCCTAACATAAGAAAGCCTAATTTATTTAATTAGATTAACAGATAGCATTTTTAAAGGTATGAAGATTAGGTTTATGTAGTTAATATGTAATAGAAACACAATAGTTATATAAATGTTTAAATTAAATGTACAATCATACAACGTAAAAAAGTGTTAGTATAACTAATCTAGCATCAAATTCAAAATGTTTATTTTGAAAATCCCAACCCGGAACTCCTTGCTTATCCTGTAGTTACCATTTCCTGTCACTGACGTCACACGTTCTATATTTTAGCAAAAGTAGCTCCCACGGCTGCTTCTATGATTTTTAATTTAATATTAGAAAGGCACCGTACAGCTTAAGTCCATAGTGGAGCCGACAGGTGAATTAACTTTCGATTTTTACTAATAGTTTAGGTGTTATGTTTAGCATTAGCTCGTTAGCTGCTGTTATGCACAGCTGACAGCGAAGCGGATTGGAATCGTGTAAACAAGGTAGGAAGGAATGAGACGCCGAGATATTTACATATGCTTATATTTATTTTACATGCAGCCATAAGGAATTTGTTATTCAAGTTATGGAGAATTATGGAAACAGGAATACAACGTGTGTGTTGACTGTCATTCAATAAGTGAAATAAATGTTCATATTGAAGGAAAGGCGACAGTGTCCAGGTCAGACCATGGCTGACGATCCTCAGAGGAATTTCCGTTCAGCATATTATGAGAAGGTTGGCTTCAGAGGAGTGGAGGAGAAGAAGTCATTGGATGAAAGACAATCCTCTGGGTGGGTAACTGAGTGTTGTCTCTTTTCAACAAGCTGTTATCGTTCACCTACAGTAATGACCACATTATTGTCATTTACAACAAAAAATGTAGATACAAACATATTTTATAAATAAAATGAGACAAAAACAGAGAAGAAATTGAATCTGAATTATGTGGTAGTGTGGGGGGCACTGAGGTCAGCTTCTCACCCAGTAGGGTTATGGATAAAGGGGCGTTTTAAGTGTCCATAGAGGTTGGCACTCAGCGCCAAGTTCTTTCTCTGTTCCTAGTATAGTTCCTAGTTTAGAACACCGGCGCCTCGGAGTCATCCTTCAACTGCCACAGTAGATTATTTAAACCAATGTGTGTATACCACACAGTTTAAATTATCAGTTGGGACATTTGCGTTTATCATTGTGATTTGTTTTACTGAACAAATAATGTTTTGCTGTGTTCACAGATTTAGAGAAGCTAAGCACCTTCAGTCAGAGGTTCCCTCTTCCTTCCATGTATAGGGTCCATGTGTGGAAAGTATTGCTGGGTGAGAGAAACATTGTTGTTCATTCTCAAACAAGGCAGTAAATGTTTTTTAAAAATCAGAATGACGTTTTAATGTTATAATGTTTTGAAATCTGCAGTTACTGTATTTTCTACAGTACTCTTCTTATGATCCTGATTTTTGGAAATCCTCTTGGTCCAGCTCTTCATTATTATTTTAATTTATTTGAATCTTCTGTGTTCCTGCAGGAATCCTACCACCTCACAGTGACTCTCATACACTGGTTGGGGGCTACAGGAAGGAGCAGTACGAGGATGTCCTGGAAGCGCTGGAGGTTATGAGATACATCAACTTCTCCACGCCCTCCACCCACATCTACCTACGCATGTTCCAGCTTGAAAGTCAGGTGCTTCCAAGGTGCTCAGAGATCACACCACCGGTAAGAAGAGGACCATATGTCGTACAGCAGGTGCAGTGTCATATTTAAAGCCTGAGGTTTGAAGCTTTTTAATTTAGCTTCTAATGTATGATATGTTTTGATTTTGCAGGATGAAGAAAATGAAGACTTTCTGTCCATCAGCAGAGCCATGGAGGAGATTGTGGATGATCCGGTCGACTGTTACTGGCTAATCAAGTGTTTCATCAGCCAGTTTCACACCAAGTTTGGAGACTCCATTCCTCATCTGGTACAGACCATTCTGGAGTCTTTCCGAATTTGTTTTTCAGCGTAGTGTATTGTCAGTTGTTGTTTTTTTTTTCACCTTTTCTGTGCCCTTCCGTCACATCTGTTTTGTCACCTTGCAGCCAAAGAGCCTGGAGCACTATCTCAGTCAGGAGGAGCCTCGACTGCTAAGTCACTTGAGGAACAGTGCAGCTCTAAGTCAGCTTCCCTACAGCCTCTGGTTCAGGCGCTGCTTTGCTGGCTGCCTACCAGAGTCCAGCCTCCAGAGGTCAGCTTGAAGATATGTTTTATCTAGGGATGTCTGCTGTGACCTTTTTGCTAGTATGGCGATATTGTCCAAACACTTAATTTCCGATATCAACCGATATCAATATATGCAACAGTCTGGGTTGAAGTCAGAGGACGCATTTTATTGTGTGCAGTGGTGTACATTGACCCAATGACAATAATTAACTTTTTCCATTTTTAGGTCACAATTGTTATTTTCATGTGCAGATTCACAAGTTTTTGTTAGACCCATAAAATAAATGCTGGATTGATACTTCACTCAGAATTTAGACATTTCTTTCTCATCAGAAACCTCCATGAATTCATAAACGTTGACTTGAAATTTTCAGAGTTTGGGATAAAGTGGTCAGTGGCTCCTGTAAGATTCTGGTGTTCGTGGCTCTGGAGATTCTGCTCAACCACAAGATCATGTTGATGGGCATAAACCGGCCTGAAGGCATCGTCAAGTTCTTGTGTAATGTGAGTGAACACCGTTTTTCTGTTAATTGTTACGATGACAGCTGACAGACATTTTTTATTTTTAGAGAAACAGAAGCTCATGATATTTGAACTCCTAGAGCTTCAGTTAAAGGACGTGTATTGACTATGAATGAGACGGAAATTACAGTCGATCTGTTGTAATGCATGAAACAGAAGAATTGACGTCAGTCTTTACCATACCTTGTCCGGCCCACCAGATTAGAAAGGGCAGCAAGCTGTACCTGGCCCGTGGGCCGTAGTTTGCCCAGGTCTGTATTGGAGCAAGGATAAGTAGATGGATCATGGAATTATTAGATACATGGTGTGTATCATTCTGCCCATATGTCAAAAATTGTGCAAAGACGTTAACAGCCTGATTTTGTGTTTTGTTGTGTCCAGATACCACAGGAAAACACAGACGCCATCGTGACCAAGGCCATAGACCTGTGGCATAAACACTGTGGCACCCTGGCGCACACGTCATGAAACTACATGAAGGAGACGGAGAAGGACTTTGAACCCAGAGGTGAGAAGCTTTCCCAGACTCCACCAGGACTTCCTTTCAAACATCTACTGAAAACCAGACTAACTGAGGGATTAACTGTTGACTGAACTGAGAACCTACACCTGGATGCTTCTGAGAAGCTGTAGGATGTGGGACAACCTGTTAATGGAAGCATAAACTATGACAAGGGGGAGAAAATGAACTTATTATTTTTAATAAGATTATTTCTTTAAGAAACGTCATACATCATAGAAGACTCACAATAAATTAACACTCACATGCAGTTCTCTCTGCTTTACAAAAAAATCTTTTGAAAACCTTCTTTTTTATAATATGTACATTTCTTATAATTCTGAGAATAGTTTCTTCACTGACTCCTGCACACACACATACACACACTCACACATTTACAGCCAACTGAGGAAATGAACAACAGAGAATACAAATTGTTAGAGCGTAAGGACTCTGAAACCCTAATGAGGTACAAAACATCTCTGAATGTAATTCACCAAAAAGGTTTGTCACCACATGACTGTGTTCGTGAGGAAATGTGTGAATTTGGCAACTTTTTTTGAATCCCTGTAAAACTACTGTAGGCACAGTGACAGACATGGTGGCTCACACAACTCTGGGTAGCAGTTGTCAGGGATGCATTTAAGATTCTAAGCAAAGACGCTCAAAGCAAGTCCAGTTGCTTTGGTCGGAATTCTGGATTCCAAGCAGGATTTGAATGTGACTTGTTAATGGATTCAGAAACAATGAGAAAATGTGAAATTATTGCTCAGGAGACTGACGTCAATGCTGTAGAAGAATGTTGTCTTTTTAGTCACTGGCTTTAAAGTAGCAATTTTGGAAAGTTGCTCATAATTTTTAGGACATTTTGGCTTTAAGCTCCAACTGGCCTCAGCCTTGTAAGCTGTTCAAAAATCCTGCCCCTGGCGAAAAGAAGAAGAGATGAAGGAAATTGAGATGAGATTTGTTTCAGGAAAAATAATAAATCAAGTTCAAGTTCAACAGAGACCAAGACCAAGGTGAAAGCTTCACTTTAAACTCTTCCTGATCCTCCACGTTGGCACAGACTGCCACCACCAGTCAGTCACAGAAACAAAAGTGCTGAAAGTAAACATATTGCCGTCTCAGTCTCATAGAAAAGACAATTTAAAACGTTTTCGAAGAGATTTTTTTCTCAAGAGTCTGTCAAATCTCCAGATCTAGAAGACTCCAGCTGTGAATCTTCTTATTTGTTTTTTCGTTGCCTCACTCTCCTATGATGGCTCAAAGTCATGTAGTGTTGATGTCAACCTCAGTCTGGAAGTGGGCGCTTGAAAGGGTTGCAGTTTTCAGAACCAGGTCAGAGAGTAGCCGTCTGAGCACTTGATGCTTCAGTTCAAACCCAACAGCAGCCATCTGAAGAATCGGAGTTGATTTATGGTCTATGAAACCTAAAGAAAGGAAAAACAATGGGATGGTGAAAGGGAGTGATGTCACTTTAGAGGTTGTGAGAGCAGTACCAAATCTCACCAGTAGTCTCACCTGGTCAGATGTCGGCTGGACTCGTGCACCTCCATCTCTGTGCTTTTGAACTCATTTAGCTCCTTTCTTATTGCAGCCTGGGGAAAGTACAGATATATTTTTTCTCTCAGTGTGGTTGAAAGAAAAGAGAAAAAAATGACATGTGAGCTTAAAGCTCTGATTCTCTGATGTTTTTCATGCAAATAGTTGAAAAGATGGGGTGCAGAGTTGGTTGAAGCTGTAAGTTCACCTTATCAGCAGCTGTTAGTCGCGTCCACGGCTTGTCTGCTCTCCTGTCGTAGTCCTGAGCTTCAGCCACCTCCACGTAGTCACTGAAGCGAATGAGGATCTTTGCTTCTCTCAGCTCCTCGACTGTCGGCCTCTGACTGAGCTGCAGGTTGTAGAAGGAAGGAAGAAAGAATTGTGGACTAATCTTCACTTTGTTAAACCCTTGGCATTTTTTTTGGCTGGTTTTATACGTTAAAAATATACCCATATAATCTATGGCCACAAGGGGGCACTGTTTACTCTTCAGACAACTGATTGCTGCTAATCTGTCACTGAGAATGACAGGACTAAACCAAGATTTCCATATAGAATTGAATCTGCAGATTATGAAGTATACAGCCAGAAACGGTCACGGAGCAGCGGACAATAAACTAACAGAAGAACTGGAACTGATGCTGACAGTGAGTCTGACGACAGCTCTGCAGAAGAAGAGACGGAGCGTCATCTTCGTCCAGAGTTGGTGGAATTGTTTGAAGAGACACCGAGGATGAATGGATTCAGTAAACGGCGAGAACTTGTATATTTAAGAACTAATATATATTTAGCCTATTTAGTTCTTTAGGCTGCTGCGTAAATTAATCATCTTTTAAAATTTTTCTCTGGAAAAAAATGTTTCCTTGACGCATTGTCTGGCAGACATATTGAATAATATATTCAATATTTACATTATATATTTATATTATATATATATTATATAAAATATTGAAACTGGATTGTAGTCCATAAGAAAAAACACAATGTCTTCATCCTTACAAAAGCTGTGGCAGTAACTTGATTGTAATGGTGTCTCCTGGCCTTAGTCCTTCTTACCTTTTTGGACAAATGTCTCTTGATCTCCCGCTTCTCCTCCTGCTCATCCTGATCATTTCGAGCTATACACAAAGATGATGAAGGATTACTCATATCATGTATATTTATATATATATATATACAGTGTATATATATACAGTGTATTTTAAAGTAACATAGATATATGTATATGTAAGAGTTACGTTTCAGTATGTTCCTCTGCTCCAGCTCCTCTGCTGTCGGCCTTTGACTCAAGCGTCTAGTCAAAGAAAAAAAGGAAACTGTGACAGTTGTAACTCCGTTGGACAGAGAGAGCAGACGGACCTGTTACAACCTATCAAACCTATTATGCATTTGATGGCATTTTTTTCCCTCCTGATTCATACCAGTGAGCAGAACAAGTCACAGTGACTGTGAGCAGATGGAGACTCCCTCAGAGATGGATAACAAGAATTTACACTCAATAGTTAAGGTTTAATGGAACAGTGAGGCGACGCCCCCCACCACCACCCCGTCAGATTTACAGCATTTTTGCGCATTCCATCTCCGCAGGGGGGCGCCAGAGCAATCTACAGAAAATGAGGAAAAAAAGTCTGGTGCAATACAAAGTGTTAACAGTTAACCTGCGTGACAGGGAATGGATGGACATGAATTTGAATTTAATGGATTGGACATTTCAATTTTTGTTGTTTTTTTTTTAAATAGAAAAACACAACTTTAAAGTATTCAGACCCAATTACAACCAATACGAGACATTATGTTGTGAACGTGCAGTATGTGTGTTAGTTAGCAGCTCACCTGGTCAGTTTGGTGGCTGTTTGTTGTCTGGATTCAAACCTCTCCTGGTCGGACTGCAGCGGCAGGATGTTCTTGTCCTCCAGCTCCCGCTTGGACGGACGGTTACTCAGCTTGATGGCGAGAGAGTCCTTTCGTAGGACCTTCATGGCTAGTGTACCTGCAACAGATGGGAAATGTAAAGAGTTTGTCTTCTACAGTGGAGCCTCAGGCTGGTGGTTTTTGTGGCCTCTTCTGCCTTGATGCAGTTCTGTTTTGGATTTGACCTAAGTTGAGTTTTGTTTTATTATTGTAAAATACAAATGACACTCTTTATATAATTCTCTATAGCTAAGGTGTCAAACTCAGGGCCTGCAGGCCACATCTGGTCCATGGTGTAATTACATTGTCCCGCAAGATCATATCAAATGTATACCTGCCAGTACATAGTTACTATATATTGGGCGGATTTGTAGTATTAGCAGTGTATGCACTATATCATATTGTTGGCCTGAAAAAATATTTACATTAAAAAGGAACTCAAAAGCCTAGAGATGAGGCATGATAAGGAACAAATGCCACTGATGTGTGTTTTATTTCAAATTTAATTAAGCTTTGGTTGTTCTAGATCAATAATTATGCAATACTAAAGTTTGTTTCCATATGAAAAAATTCTACATCACATATCTGGCGATAAGGGAAAACATCCAGGATTCCAGTCAGTTTTTTAATAAATATTGAGTTTGACTTCTTCCGGGTTTTTATTTTGGCCCACTGTGAATTTGAGTTTGACACCCCTGCTCTAGAGTGGAATAATTCACAACTCTGATTACAAAGTTCAACCATTTCTAATGATGTGTGGTGTTGTGGCAGGGGGCGCCACTCACTCAGCCACACGTGATGTCTCTGTTTTAATGTAATTTGAATACATTCCAAAGGTCAGTTCTGTAGAATGAAAACCGGAAGATTAATGCCACGTACTTGTAAATAGTGCTTCATCTTCTTCCTCTTCTTCTTCCTCATCCTCCTCCTCATCATCATCTTCTTCCTCCTCCTCCTCCTCATCCTTATACATGCCTGGCATGTCCTCGTAGTCTGCTTCGTTGGGGAGGTTCTCTTTGTCGTTGTCGCACTCGATCATCAGCGTGGGAACGGCATGCATCATGGAGCTGCAGGTCGGTGGGAGAGGGCATAGGTCACATGTCATAGGGAAAATATGTTAAATGTGGGCAGTGATGTGGTGAACAGACGGTGTGTATACATTTTGACATTCAGAGGGCCAGGGCTGCGGAAAGAAAAACAGGCTGTAAAAACACGTCGACGTGCGGCTCTGTGAACGGCAGTGGCAGCAGCTGTGAGGGCGACACCTGCACCCAGGAAAATGAACCTTTAGACAGGCAACCAATCACAGTGATGAATGTGGAGTCGGGAGCTGCAGGAGCAGAGATATTTCTGCCAACGTTGGTGGACAACGATCGGCAAAGACAACAATTGTTTTTCACACTTTGCACTTCATAATTCACGCACTGCCTTTACGCCATGATGCAATCCAGCAGTTTCAGCACCACCCTGACTCCCAAAGACAATAATTTTGAAGCTGCAGCTGTGTATGTGTGGATGTTGGGGTGGATGGGACGGGGGCAGGGGGGGAGAGA